AGCCTGTGTCCTTCCATCCCAACGCTCCCACTCCACTCACAGGAGCCATCCCACCACGTCTCCATGATGCCAGCCAGATCACAGCCCTGCAGGCATGCGCATGTCTCCAGCTCCTCTTGTTTATTGCCCATGCTTCGTGCGCTTGCCCAGAGGCATTTCAGTTGGGCTCTGTGTCCCCCACGGGTGTTTGAGCCACAGCAACCCTCCAGCAACTTCCGAGATGCAAAACCTGCAAGGCAGATCCACCCCCTCAGCTTCCAGTGCGAGACACAAAGCCCTCAGCTGGCACTGTGCCGCTGAGCCAGGCTGTTCCAGACCCTTGGGATGGCAACCGAGGTGCCCACTGAGCGCAAAGAGCAATGGGATCATCCGGACCTGGGGAAGGCACGGTCCAGGACACAGAACACAGACGGAAGCTGCAGCTGCCCCGCCCGGACGCACGCATCCCCTGGAAGGGACCGCATGCCCTCTCTCTGCCCAAACCTGCCAGGAGCAGGGAGCTGGACTCAAAGATCCTCGTGGGACCCTTCCAGCCTGAGGTATTCTATGATCCCCCTTTCTGCCTCTGCTCAGAAACAAGACAAAGTTCAGCCTGAAGCCCCGAGCTAACAGGCTTGGTTCACCTTCAGAGAGGACCTACTCACAAAGCAGAGGGCACATTTTCCTGCTCTGAAACTGAAGAGCTCCTGCAGTCCCAAGGGAGGGCAGAAAATAAATCACAGTCAGCAAATTACAGTTATGAAATTTGCAAGGCAACCTTCGTTTTGTCGGGTTAAAGGGAAATGTGTTCTCAAGCCAAAACCTAGGTGGAAATCCAAAGAGCCACATCCTCTCAAGACACATGGCCACATCACACCTGAATTAAGTCAGTTTCAGCTAGAAGAAAGCTTAGGAACTGCCACTCCCTGCTCCTGATCTTGTGCAAAGGTGGAAACAAAAGACACCACACAGGGCATAAAAGCACCTAACTGGTATCTAATGTCACCCATCTGCTTCTTTGGGGCACTCCTAGGGACACCAGGTTGCTTGCAGCATTAGGTGTCAAGAGACTGTATATAATAAAAGGAAAAGAAAAAAACAAACTTCCAAGAAGATGCTGAAAGGACACTGGTTTTGTCAAGTTCCCCTACAATGATTTAAAGCCAGAACAAAATCATGGCAACAACAAAACCCTCTTCCCGATTGTGATGGAGAACATGGAGGAGCTGTAAATGCAGAGTAGTATCACAGACAGGTGCAGAGGAGCCCAGGACTTGGAAAAGGCAAACAGGGCTGTCAAAACAGCCCGAGCCGAGTTCGCTGAAGTAAGCTTTTCTAGCTAACAGCCCGGGCAAGGGGATGGAGCGCACGCTTACAAAGCCTGCAGACCCCACCAGTCTGGCCAGGTGGAAGAGAAGCTACAGAGCAGAGCCGCTTCTCAGAGGCTGGAGAAATGGGTTGAACAGCAAGGTCTACGGTTCTGCTATGAAGTTAGACCCAGGCAAATATAATATTTTGCCCGTCGGAGGGAGTAACCCCCCATGCCAGGGCTGGCCAGCTGGCTGGGGAACAGCTTTGCAAAAATGGGCTGGGGGTCCTGGTGGGCAACGAGTCCAAGAGATTGCAGCCAGCTGCACCCTGGGCTTATTCACAGGAGCATAAGCAGCAGGTGGAGGGAGGTGATCATTCCCCTTTAGTCAGCTGCTTCCTCGATGATGTTTCTCTGGGGCCAAAGGCATTGGAGAGTGAAGCAGGTCCAGGCTCCATCCAAGTGTGGCTTGTGTGTTGGTGGAGATGGTGCCCGCACCACTGGGGACAGAAGCCCCAAGCCGGGTCACAGGCTGCTGCTGTGCAAGCTCCCCTCCGCTTGGGACACACACTGGGGCAGACCAGAAGGAGACCAACGCACAGGGAAGCTCCACTTCCAACACCATCAGCAATTTATTAACCCGTCAGCCAAGCAACTTCCAGTTCTGACAATGAAATGTGAATGCCCAACCGCACCACGGCCTGAACACAGGCACCTGCTGCGCTGGGGGAAGGCTGGAGCCCAGGCACCGGGGCTGTGCCCTGACGCTCACCACCGCAGTGCTTTCCGCCTCACTTTCCCCTTTTCCCAAGTGGGAACGATGCTGGTGACTTCACCGGCGAGGCTGTGGGAAGCCAGGTGCCTCCAGCCGGGGGACAGAACGCTAAGGAAACTGAGCAAAGCACTCCTTTTTCCCATCTGCCCGGGGGAGGACTGGTGCCCCTCCCCTCCTGGCACAGGCTCCAGGACAGAGAGCACTTCAAAGGCAGTCGCTGGCACCCCCAGCACAGAGGCCGGCTGAGCAGGGATTGCGCAGTGCACCCCATCACGGTGCTGGGCACAGGGGAGGCCCCAGATCCCACACTCCTGCTGCAGACAGCCAACCCGGACAGCACGAGGGGAAGATCAAGGCAGCCTTGCTCTAGCCGGGATGAGAGAGAATCTGTCTGGATGTGTAACACAGCGCTGCTTGGCAGCTTTCTCTGCTCAGATCCCCAAACTGGGCTGAAAAGGCACTTCACGCCCCGTCCCGTGAGGGAGGATATACCCGGGTAAACCTTTAAAAGGGGATATTTAGAAGAGGTTCAACAGAAAGCAGAGACTCTGCAGCACCACGGCAGCACTCCTCCCCAGCAACGGCAGCAGTCCACGTGTTAAGATCAGCGCTGAGATCTCCTGTTCAGGAAACCCCCCCTGGTCCCACGCAGCAGACGGTGTCCGGGATAAGTCAGAGGCCACGGCGTCTGCGGCGGCCCGGGTTCAGGCAGACAAGGCCTCCGGCACGGTCTTCCCCAGCTCAGCTGAGGATCCGGATTGCAGCTGCCCGGCAAGGGGGCTGTTGGGATGCAGCCGGCAGAAACGCCCCAGCGTCCAGATGGGGAAGACGTTGCAGTACGCGGTGTAACTGATGGCGCACGACTTGTTGAACACCCCAGCAATATTCTCCTGAGAGAGAGACAGACAGAAAGATGGTGTGGGTGACAGGGGACCACAGCGCATCCGGGGAGCGGTGCTGAGCTCATTGCCGTTTCTGAAGTCCCCCGCCAAAAGCCACACGTGGCTTCCCTGCCAGGTAAGGGAGAGCACACCGTTGCCATGGCTGCACAATGCCCAGGACGTCTGCAACACCAAGGAACCCCTCGGAAAGACCAGAGGACAGGCGTACCTGAGGCCAGTCCCCGTTGGGCAGCTGCTTATCAATCAACAATTTGATGCCCCTTTCCAGCACGTCGATGTCAGGGTACCTGCAAAGCACGAGGGAGACGTGAGCACACCAACCCATCTCCAACCACCCATCCATGTGCTTAGGGTCCCCAACCACCTCCAGGCTGCCCCGAGCTTGTCCCAGGCATGCCGAGTGCTTTGGGCAGGCCCCTCGCAACCCGAGCACACCAGACATTACGAACACGGCAACACGTTCCCAGGCCGGCGGCCTGCGGCTGCGATTCAGATCTTTGCCTTGCACTGGCTCCCCCTCGCCCGGCATTATGAGCCTCGCCGGTCTGTGGAGCGCTGCGCAGGCCGCTCCCCCATCGCAGGAGGCTTTTTATCATAGAATCACAGAATTATTAAGGTTGGGAAAGACCTCTCAGATCAGCAAGTCCAACCATCAACCCAACACCACTAGGCCTGCTCAGCCATGTCCTGAAGTGCCACATCTATCCGTTTTTTGAGCACCTCCAGGGACGGTGACTCCACCACTTCCCTGGGCAGCCTGTTCCAATGACTGACCGCTCTTTCAGTAAGGAAATTTTTCCCAATATCCAATCTAAACTTCCCCTGATGCAACTTCAGGCCATTTCCTCTTGTCCTATCACTGGTTACTTGGGAGAAGAGACCAACACCCGCCTCACTACACCCTCCTTTCAGGCAGTTGTAGGGAGCTTGTGACCAACGAGGTCATGAACAAACACGGCTGGGTGCACGGCCCACAGCAGCCAGGCCCAGGGCCCGTGCCAGCTCTGCCACACAACCCAGCCTGTACTGCCCATCCCACTGAGCACTCGGGGCCAGATGGTGAGTGCAGAGGTGAGGGCTGCTCCTACCTGACCGCCATGAGCCCCAGCAGGGCCCAACACGTGTTGTGGATCTGCGACGTGGCACTCTGGACATACGTGCGCTGCTCGCACGACTCAAAGTCCTCTCCCCACCCGCCATCTGCCATCTGCTTGGAGAGGAGGAACTCGCAGGCCTGGACCACCTCTCGGCACGCAACCCTGCAAGGATGGAGCAGAGAATCGGTCAGGGATGCCGACAGGGAGCCTTTGCACACCCGTTTCCCAGCTGCAAACAGGAGCTGTGCTCTGCCCTGCCCACGACCGGGACTGCCCCGGGAGTTCGAGGGTCAGGCAGGGAGTGCCCCGGTCACATTGCAGGCACGGGGCTTGAGAGGAGCAGCACCTGGGGCAGGAGAGCCCACGTGCAGCCAGGGCATCCACCCAGCCCCACCATGGACCCCTGCCCCAGCCCAGGCGGTAGCTAGGGGCAGAGGAACCACGCAGCCCCTTCTCACCCGTCACGGTATGTGTGCTGCATAGTGGCGAACGCCTCCAGACCAAACCAGGTGCCGTAGGTGAAACAAACCCCCCAGCTCCTAGGAGGAAGGGGAGAGCGGTACTGTCAGGGGTGCGAGGCCCCCGGCAGCAAGGTGCAAGCTGCGATATGGCCGTGTTCACAGCAAGAGCAGAGCCAGGCACAGAGCTGCAGCCTGCCTTCCCCAACGGTGCAACCATGCCCAGTCCCACCAGCGCCTGCTCCCAGCTCACTCAGGTGTCACCGGACACTCTGGGACCACAAGAGCTGGAGCCAACCCAGTCCGCTGGGGCTGTCTGGGTCTCGTGCAATGCATGAGGTGCCTGCTCTGCCTGGGCTGGAGGGAGAGGACAGAAGAGCAAAGCACAGGACCTAGGGGAGGATCAGCCCCTACTTGCCCTTCCTGCCAGCCAGGAACGCTTGCCATCACGGTCCCTCTCACACTAGGGCAGCCAGGGGAACGCTGGGCACTGGGAACACTGCTTACCCTTCCCACGACCCATCGGCTCGCTGCTGCTTGCAACAGAAGTCCAGGCCCTTCCGCAGAGTCTCCCTGGTCAGGAAAAAGACACTCGCTTCAGAAGCGGCTCAAACTCCGTGGCTGCTTCATCAGGGGCACCCATCAGTCCCTCCGAGGCTTTGATGGGCCCCACGGGGCTGAGGAGGCAAGAGCAGGCAGGCAGGCAGCCACGCCGCTCAGCATCTCAGGGTCACATCGCGCATTTCTGGTGCAATCTGGGTGCATTTCTGCCTCACGCCAGCACGCAAGCAGGGGACCCAGTCTACAACTGTCCGCAAGATCAAGGCGACTGCTAAGTCAAGAAGCAGGCAGATCACCACCAGCTTCCCCCTGTCTGATCCCAACCAGCCTATGCTCTGCTCCTTGGGAGGGGCTGGGCCCCAGCTTCTTGTGGGGGACTCTGGTTTGGAGAAGTCACCAGCACCCCAGCTGTGCGCACACCAAGGGCCACCACAGGGGCTGCTCCATGCCAATGAAGAGGTCCAGGCAAGACCTCTGACAGGGCTCAGCAGGGGCCACAGCAGGCAGCATGGGACATGGCAGCCTGTCCTCTCCCCTGCCCGACTCTCATTTCAGTGCCTCACCTGATCTCTGGAGCTCTGTGCTCAGGGAACTCCTCGTGGAAGTGTCTCAGTGCCTGCATGACAGCCGACGTGCACTCCACATAGGTGTAGTCGATCATGATGTCGCCTGCCAGCAGGTGAAGGGTATCAGTGCAACAGCCCCTCCGCCGTGGAGCCTGAGCCACACGCCGCCAACCTCTCCCTTGGACCCAGGGCACAGAGGGACCTTACAAATGCCTATAAATATCTGCAGGGTGGGTGTCAGGAGGATGGGGCCAGACTCTTTTCAGTGCCCAGCGACAGGACAAGGGGCAACGGGCACAAACTGAAGCAGAGCAAGTTCCAGCTGAACATGAGGAAGAACTTCTTCCCTCTGAGGGTTACAGAGCCCTGGAACAGGCTGCCCAGGGAGGTTGTGGAGTCTCCTTCTCTGGAGATATTCAAGACCCGCCTGGACAAGG